AATGGGCGAAATCGCCTCTTGATATCACTAACTCTCCTGACTCCTGATCGCCTTCAGCCTGCTGGTGAAGTGGGATTTGGGATGCCTCAGATTCAGGGGCCCATGGCACATCATGGTGCATCACCATCGGCAGCAATGCCTTCAGCACAGGAGGATCCCAGGAGATAAGTATGAATTTAACCCTCCAGGCCAGGAGAAAATGATGTGATGCAAAGGGGGTGGTGGCCTGTATGCTGTCATATCTTGAATTTATGGTGATGTATTAATCCTGAGTTTATTGTGATATATGTTACTCCTGAATTTATTGTGTTGTATTATTGTTGCAGTTAAAGTGAACACTCTTGTTTCTCAGCATTTCCCATAGGTGTGTGCATTTGCGTTTCAAGTGAAGTTGTCTGTTGTGGAATGTGGAGAGTGGCTGTGTTAGATTTATGGAGGCAACATTTTCAATCCTCTTCATTGAGAGAGTCCAGTCTTTAGACTTGCATTTCCTCCCTATGGGTTTGGGGGCAATGGGTGTTTTTGTATGGATTCGATGCCACAGACAGCGTCTGTTGAATTTCGTGTTTCATGAAACAGAGGGTGCGTTAGTCTTGAATTCATAGTGGCATGTGTGTTAATCTTGAATTACTTGTGATTTATGAGTCTGTAATAGCTTCTGATGTATGCATCTTGAATTTATTGTGATATATATTACTCCTGAATTTACTGTGATATATATTACTCCTGAATTTATTGTGATGTATTAGTCTTGAATGAAGTCTTTGAAGTGAGCACTATTGATTCTCTGCATTTCCAGTAGGAAAAAATGTAGGAACCTTTTCATAGATTATTTGCCAAGCTTGTTTCAGGAGGTGTGTGCATGTGCCTTTCACATGAGGTTGTCTGGGGTAGACACGATATATAGGGCATGAGTGCGTTAAATTTGTTCAAGTTGAAGGTTTTGATTCTCCTTATTGGAAGGCTGATGCAGATGATTTTTTTTTTCCTATTGGCAGGCATCATTTTAAGAGTTATATAATCAATATAAAATTATAAGAGTTAAATATCACACACACACATATATACAGACCGGAGCACAATAACGCGATTGCGTGTCGTGTTTTAGTATACGCGTTGGGAATAGAGAAAGAAGCAATGGTCTTGGAAGCGATTAAGGAACAATATCCAAAAGACAAATGTTAGGAGGGGGGCGCCACTGGGTCATTGGACGGATGTTTTCCTTTCCCTCTCATCTTCTCCATACTAGGAAGAGTAGAGAGGCAAGAGCCAGGGCTCCAGACAAGTGGTAAGAAGAAGCCACATTGCAGCCATCTGTGCTGCAATAGCACTCCTCCCTATAGACACTGTTTTCATCGATTCCCTGGTTGCAAACTCCAGTGACTCCCATTTCAGAGACAGAGCCGCAGCGTCTTATCACCTGTCTCCATCGACCATCCTCTGAAAAATATCAATATTCTCTAAAATGCTATTGACATTTAAACTTACTTTTGATTTCATTGGGTATAAAACATAAATGATGAAAATAGCAAATGTAACATTATATATCTCAGATAAGCAAGAATATGCCTTTTATACCAAGGGACAACGAATCTCAGTTCCCAGGTGCAAAGGTAAATTTTGCAGAGTGGGTAAAAAAAAAAGCTATCATTTTTGGTAAGTTTGTAGGTTGGCAATTCTGATGAAATTCAGTAGGCAAATAGGGTGACTCAATTGGGGTTTGTGTGCCACATTTTAACAAAAAATTTCAAAAACTATGAGAAAGGCATTTCATTAACTTTTCATCACAAAAATGTAAGAGTTAGTTTGAGTAATTTTAAGTTTTAAGTAAAAATTAACAAAACAAACAAGCAAAGAGAACAAAAACAAAATTCACAATTGTAAAGAAAAAAAAATGAAAGTACACAATTTGGTTTAGGTAGGTTCTTTTCAACAGTGCTCAATGTTCCCTCCATTCTGTTGAACACTAGCCATTTGTCTGGGACGCTACAGATCAATGGCTCAGTCAATAAATATTTGATGCAGTACCTCCCAATCCTCCTCCATTAGCCTATGGCTTGTCTGCCATTTTATTTTTTTTAATTATGCACACTATCTCAGATTTCTTCAACATCCACTTCTTTCTCTTTTTTTCCTTAATGTCACAATTCTAACATGCCAAAATACAAAGATAGAAAGAAACAATAAGCCTTTACAAATTCTAAATACTCTGAAAGCAATGAAACCATCCTGAGCCCAGTCTTCTTGGTAGATGTTGACTGTGTCCCACCAAAGATTGGAGAAAGGGAGAGCCTCACAAAGCAAGGAAGCATCTAGCCATACATTCTCATTTTGAACTTTACTGATTTACCAAAGGATAGTTTCAAACAAAACTTGATTGCACTTTGTCCTGGAGTTATGCCTCCTTCATAAAAATCTCATCACTTAACCTATCATGGTTTCAAAAAATTTTCAGAATACCAGAATACCTTCTTGAATTGACTTTACTCATGAACCGAGCCTAACCAAAAAACATTATGAAAGGAAATTTGGAGCCTGATTATGGTACTAGACTTACCAGCATGGCTGATTCCATTACGAAAAAAATTCATTGTATCTGAGATAATTTTGGGACAAAAGGATCAAACCAATCAATGCTTTTCAAACACTTGAAAAAACATTTGAAATTCTCTTGCCCAAGCCTAAACCAAATCAATATTAAGGCTCATCTGGCCATCTCATGACCTTTTAGCTAGAAAAAAAAAAAGAAAAAAGGCCAAGAATGCCATCCTAAATATTTAAAGCCAAATATTCAGGAAAATTAAAAGAAACCCTAATATGCTCTGACTCATCTACATTCTTCCCCACAAAGATCACATTAGGCTTACAGGAAAAAAATTACTACAAACACTGCACAAGTCCATTCATGTGTAATGGCAAAACCTTGCCTTTTTTTCTCTTAAAATGCTTACAGGATCTTCTACACAAAAGTGCAAACAATATTCACCACTTGCACAACATAAAGCTGAAAAAAAAACTTCCATATCATATTTGACAGTGAGTAAGCAGATAGGATTTACACTTTGTAGGTCAAAGCATACAATTAATGAAATAACAAAGATGTTCGTACACCCTAGCTCACTGGAGGTTTATTCCCAATTGGTATTGAGCGGAATGATCCTCATGAAATTGCTCATTTGCCTTTTCCTTCACTTCACCAAGAGCAACTTTTGCTGGAACAAGCCTATTATGCTATGTGAAACAAAACAGGCAACTGGCAACCTAAGAATACACAACTAAGAGGGTACAATTTAAGGGTTCACTTGGCTCGTCTAATTCTAGCCTCATCTTCTCACTTTTTTTCTTAGGCCTACCTCAGAGTCCATAGGGAACACATACACCCACTGACTTAGGCAATAGACAGGATTCAATATGAATACATTTTTTTCGGCATATCGAACCTTTTTGCCGTATTTTTCGGCACATTGTGGAGGCGATTTCAGGCAGATGAGGCTTGTGGGGTTTTGTAGCACAATCCGTGATGGGATACGAGGTGTTATCAAATGGGTCTCCGCACTTCGGATCTTGGTCTGACCGGCATTCCCAGCACTTTATACTCCAGCCTGCAATTGAGGGTTAATTTTTGTCATAATTTGCGGTTCCATAGTAGGCCCAGGTACATGCTAAGACTTGATTGAGCACCACAGGCATTGATAGGCCTAGTTTAAAGTTAACTGAGAGTAGCCAGCGTAATAAATCGACTCACTCATTGGAAGGAAGAAAATTGTGGCACCCGTCAGAGTCAGAAATATCGCCCATGATGGCAACATATTGAATGAAAAGGATTTCAAGCGCAGATATGAGGTAATAAAATTAGAAACTGAGAAAGCTCGAGATTCTCATCATAGAACAGTCTCTACAGGTCCGTCAGTGATGCTCTTCATGCGTATTCGAACGGAGCCATGATGGAATTCCAGTGGGAGAAGGGATGCAAAGCGACATGGGAATTTCCCATGAACTTATTCTCAGATTCAAAATTTTGGAAAATTTTGGAGTATCAAAGAATAACAGATGTAGAGATTGAATGTAAAAGGCATTTTGGTAGAGAAAGATAACAGATAAAGTACGATTTGGGAAATCTAAGTCAAATAGTGCAACTCGGCAATCGAACAGCCGTGTGGGACGGCATTGAGAGCAACTGGGAGTGGTGCCTATAGTGATACATCGACGGAGGAAGGCTGAGTCGGTGGTGTCGGTCAGAACGTGTCTCTTGTTTGGTGGCTTTTCCGCATCCATTTCTTTCGACCCCTCTCCTCTTTGCCGCCCATACCTTCGGAATTGCGCAAAATGAAGCACTTGCTCGCCATCTTCTTTGTCGTTGATCTGGTGTCTTTTGGTGAGTCTTTCTCTCTATAGATTTGGATTGTGTGGGGCGTTAGTGGCTATATTCATCGCAGCATAGCTACCATCCCCGTCAAACCCCTACTTCTTGCCCTACCCAGGAGGTCAAGGGGCCGACAGTGTAATGACTTACGATTTTAATGTTAATGACCGAATTTACATGCGTGATCGCCGCTTGGGCGTTTTTACTTTCATTTTCTCATTACAATTGTTTTGAATGCAATTTATTGACGAATGGTTAGGTGCTTCATGGGAAAGATGATTGTAGGAGTGGGGAAAGATAATGGGGATTGCTTAGGATATAGCCAATTGTCAAGAATTAAATTTAGCTAGACTTAGACATGCCTACCTTCATACGCTATAGTTTTTATTTATTCGGTTGGTTCTTATTTCAGCTTTTGCAATCCAGTGTTATAAGTGCAATACCAGAGATGATGAGTACTGTGAAGACCCATTTAATCATAAAAATGCAGAGGGACACCTCTCACCATGCACTGAAAAAGACTTCACTGACAAGACTGGACTACCCCCTTCCAAGAATATTACTTTTGCATGTAGGAAGATCTGGCAAGAGGGTAAGGATACATATTCCTTTCATGTTACATGTTGAAACTTTCTGTTCTGCTTCTTTACTGACATTGATGTCTTGGATGTAGTGAGAGGAGACATCGCCGTCTTCCGAAGCTGCGGCTGGGAAAAATACTACATCAAAGAAAGAATATGCTACAAAACGGCCACTGAAGATATCCACACAACTGTGTGTTCATGTGAACATGATGGCTGCAACATAGCTACTACATTGGGTTCTGCCCTGGTCCTGGTCATAGCATCACTTGCTGGTGCATTCCTAGCCCTCTGAACCGTTCCAGTTAGTCTCAGGAAGGTCTTAGCCAATATCAATTGTGTGCAATACCCTCACTAGTGAATCTCACTGCTGTGTTCTGCTGTAAGAACCCTGTCTACACTTGCATTTCTCATCCTGCTTTTGGAATCTGTGATCCCTAGAAGGAAAACCTTCAAGCTATTTACATGCACAATGACCTGGTATTCCTTCACAGATATTTCTACTGTAGCCCCTTCTGGGTGAGACAGCTCTCAGTGATAGCTGTGGCTTTTACCTTTACTTTCTCTGACATAGATCTCACCCACATCCAACCCATCCAAGCTTCTAGACCTAGATGGAGCTTTTTAGATATGCTTAGATTTTTGTGATTAGGCTAGTTTATTTTTCAGGGGAAATCTTACCCCTCACTGCTCATTGACTTGGTATTACTGAAAATCAGAGTTATGTAATGTTAAAAATCCCTGTGCCAAAGGCCCAGAAAATGGCCAGGCCATGCGGTTGGCATGTTCCTTCCGCCCTCTCCCCTTCCCCTTTCATGAACGTGATGCGAAGGTTCTTCATATCTGGATTTTAGACTTTCTACAAGACATGTGCAATCATGCTTCCATGGTGCCTTCCCCTATTGACCCCCATGAAGTCTGCTGTAATAATAAAAGGTGCTGCATCAAGGCTCAAGACTATTGTTGTTTCACCCTCTCCTCAAATGAGAATTGTGTTGTGGAGTGCCATGTCCTATCTATGGTCTCTTAGGCCCAATGATAGAGGGGAGGTTGTCTTTTGTTGCATCTTTCATTAGACAGTCTGAGTGTGAGACCATATCCTTACCTATGGGTAAATGTTGCAGCTAGGCCACTAAATTATGTGGCATTATATGCCACATCTTGAAAACTGACAGGGTTTTCTCTCATCAAATTTGCAAGACACCTGCAGATCCATCTTTTTTTTTTAAAGCTAAGGACAGTCAAAAGCTTCTGACTTACCTTGAGTCATCCTCATTTTTGACAAATTTGGCATTACTACCCTTATAATGTTTGCTAACTAGTACTGAAACTGAGCAAAGGTGGTCAGTTACACAGTAGGAAATGCAATACCATTGACTTCAACTGGGAAAGGTTGCACAACATCTTTAGAAGTTTATTTCAAAGTTTCTCAGTGTAAAGGGCAGTGCTTGAGAGAAGAAAAAGTGTCAATGAACACTGGGAACAGTAGAGGTGAGATTGCGCTGGCATAAGGACCCCGTCTGAGAGGAGCAGAGCACAGCTCCCAGGAAGGCAAAGGGGATGCAGATGCAACATATGGCCTGGGGTTGCTGCGGATGGAAGCACAGACGAAACAGCTCAAAGATCTCCCCTCCGGATTCTGGTGCTACACATTTCACCAGGGAACATGGCTTATCCAGGGGCGAAACCACCCCCTGCCCTTCAGTTATGTTGGGCAGGAGGAGGAGAAGGAGGAGGCTGAGCACCATCCACATCTCCTTCAGCTGGCAATGTTATGCATGAGACATTGAATATCAGCACACTATTTCGGAAATTTCACTTTCTACAATTGGCTAGTTTCTGCTACTTCATAAAGTTACACAACATAATTTAATAATTGCACTGATAGTCTTCCAAATTTATTTAATATTGCAATCACAAGGATAAATTTTCATAACAAGTGAACTCTCTTTTGAACCACCTACTGACCTCAGCAGTATTATTTCTAACATACCTAATCGCTATTATTACAGTCGACTCCACATAGTGGAATCCCATCGCACAATCCCGATTTACAGTACGACACAACGCAGATAATTTCAGTTATGAGAATACTCCGGTTCGCTGGTGCCGTGAGTATTCCAATACACAGAATCGACTGTATTGATTAACGACTACTTCATTTTTCCAATTGGAATTCCTTCTTTAAAAAAAAGTGTTTTTGAAAGTTGCTCAACCCTGCATAGAAGCAAAAACTTGTTCATATATACATAACACGAATAATTGTTTAAATCGACTCTGCCATTTATATCCACAGGTAACATCTCTTTATTCGATTAATTGACATCGCAACATTTTTATAATGTAAATTTACACTATATTTGCGATTATATTGGGTTGCGCGACTTTTGAAACACTATAAGCTGCGAAGATACGCTGATGTCATAGGAAACGCCTCTGAGAGTTTCCATCGTATCGAGATGGTGATAAAATCGATTTTGCGTCCTACATAGGAGACCGGCTTCTGGTTCTGAGCGTGTGGTTTTGAATAAATGAGATCAGATACGGAGTTCTCCGAAACAACACCGAGCAAAGGCCAGAGCTCCCTGACATCCCAACAGACGAAAAATGAAAGAGAAAAAAAAAAACTCACCTGAGAGAAGCAGTGGAACCGAGTGGAACCCGTCTCCGCTTTCCAGGAATAAGGAGACACGTCGCATGTTCACTGAAGGCATTTTTCCCTTCCTCATTCCCTCCCGCCCTTCCTCCGTTCGTGATTCAGCAAGATCCTTGCCCCGCTGCTCCTTCGGCAGTCGCGGCGGAGTCGATCGCGATGGGGCAATGACGCGGAATGCCGCCGTCTCAATTCCTGATCGGGTTGCCCCGTAAAAAAAAAAAAAATCTGATGCGTGTCTGATGATTCTCTGAGGATTCCCTGATAGACTTGCAAAACCGTTTTTTCTTGCCTCGTCACCGCGTCAAATTTCATCCACACGAACCCTCACCGACGAAGGCCAATCGAATCACTAATTTCCGGCGCAGAAACCCTCAGAATCCCCCACGAACCGAGCCAGCCCCGAAAACGCCAGAAAAATCGATATATTTCATGGAGTATGAAGGAACGTCCCGCCGCTGGAACCCAGCCAAAATCCATGATAGGGCTAATCAGCTTCCGCGTGGCTCGAGGGCTCCTCAAAGACACACGTCACCGAGGACCACATCCTCAAAGACACATGTCACCAAGGCCCACATTTCATTACGGTAGAGAAAGCCTTTAAGCCAGAGAAAGAGCTCCATTAGCCAACCTAGCATTAATAACGCACATTTATTAATATACCCCACCAATTCACTAAAATTGACAGTCGTCAAATTTTCGCGCAACTGTTTCAGCCGACGAATGCATGGTGGCCAAGGAAGCTTGTCCGCGAAAACTAAGCTCGTGAAACGAGAAAAGATGTTCCCGTTCGGGCCTTGCCGCTAAAATGAATTCCTCGACCAACGAGAAACCGAGTAGATGCGGTGGAAGATCGAGTTAATTAATATATATCGGCGGGATACGCGTCGAGAGTCGGAGAAAAGCCTCGACTCGTCCAACTTCTAATCCGAAAGATGGACCTGGGACCAAAGATACATCATGGCCACTTAACCGATCCCCTTTTTGCGTGTGTGCAATTCTTAAATTGAATTGCTCCCTTTTTTTCTTCCTTGAAGATGCAAGCAAAATTGTGGAGCAAGGCCGACGCGACCAGACAATCAATTTTTTTTTTACCCGTCGGTCCCATTTCTCGTGCCGTTTCACATCGAGGAATTTAAGTGCTATTCGTCGCATCGATCACTCGCCCGATTCGAAGGGGAAATGCCTGGGCCTCGAGACGAGAGAGCCTCGAGGCCCCGAACCGCCCGACGGCCCTCAGGCGACTGAACGCGAGGGACCTCGCCGCATCCGAGCCCGGCCGGGTCGCTCGCCTCGCTCGCCGAGGGACGGCAGCACTGTCGCGACGCGGCGGGAAAGGGAAGGCCACATCGACTGGGGGAGGGGGGAACCGGGTCGTGTGTCCATGTAATCCATAGAGAGAACCCAAAGAGTCAGACAGGCTGCGGCGGTGATGCATGGAAGCCTTTCAGGGATCGCTCCTTTCACAACAACGGGCATCGGCGGTGCAAAAAAAAGGGTATGAAAGGTATCTCTCTTCGCCGAGGTCGGGTGGAGTTAAAGGACGAGGGTGTCCTTTCCTTCCCTGCGCCGATGAAACCATGGAACCTTGCATCGGAAAGTGGAAATCGCGGGATAGCGGTCCAGGACCTCCCGCCGCATCGCCTCTCGCGACGGAAAAAAAACCACTCGGAGTCGAATATGCCCTCGTGACGTCATCCGCCGAGGCGGTCCAGCGTCGTCGAGTGCCTCAGTGTTTATGCAGGCGAGTGAGAAGGAACAGACGCCGGGGGGAATCGCCCGCCGAAACGGAATGGATTTTCTCCGTCGTGCCATTCGCGGGAGCTTGTGAACGAGTGCGAGGAATGTCCGGAATCTCCGAAATTGTCCGGAATCTCCGGAAATCTTCGGAAATGTCCGGAAATCTCCGGAGTTGCGGAATCTCCCGGCTGGAACTTCACCGTGATTCGATGCATTCCAGGCAATCCCGTGATTTTTTTATCATTACAAATTTTCCTTAACTCTTTAAGGATGTTCTGATTCGCCAGGGGAACTCGAGTCCGTTGCGGTTTCTTCCGTAAAAGTTGCCGGGGAGGAAATAGAATTTGTTTGGAGAAAAAGGAGGGGGGAACTTGTTTTCGAGAAACTTCCAATATTATATTTTAAAAAGGGAAATTAATATGCAAGAGTAAATCGTGCACCCCTAACGTTCCCATGAGAGTTCTGCACGTGAAAAAAACGTTGATAAAGGAAATTAGACAAACAAGATCCCAGCATCCGAGGAATCCCGAAACACTTCCAGTGCCCCTCCCCCTTCCCCCCTCTTCCCCCTCCCTCCCCCCCCCCTCCCCCCCCTGCCTTCAGTTCCGTTCCGGTGTGCTCTTAGACCGGACTCCCTCACACGACTGAGTTTTGATCCCCCTCTTAGGAAGCGAATACGTGCTCGCGAGACTGGGAACAGGCCACGGACGGAGTCTCCTCCCCATTCCTCTTCTGTATAATTTAGCTTCGGTGTCCTTCCATTCTTTTTTTTTCTTTTCCTCGCTTCCCCCTCCTTCCGTCTCCCTTTCATCTTTTTCTTTCATCTCCCGTCTCTCTTTGATGGAGCGGAGCGGGCTCGTCCCGGCTGCCCGCGTCGTCGGGGTTATTTCGCCATTTTTTTTTTTGGCGATCGGTTTTTCGCCCTCAGCAGCTGCATTTCCGATCCGGATGTTCCGTTTCCGTTTCGGGATCGATCCCTCAAGGGCGTCGACCCATTTCCCAACCCCCCCTCTATATTTTAGACGTGAAGTCGAAAAGTGAACACGGTCTACAGGTTCTGTCATCCCCAAAATCGATCAGATTTAGCCAATAATATATTATTAAAATTCTATAACGCTATTTAAATTGCCTTATGTTTATTTAATTCTATATTTACATTACTTATATGCGGTTTTTATGCTGCATACGTTAAGTGATTAGATGAAAATACGTATATAAAATATAAATATAAATATATAAAATGTAAAATATAATAACTTTCTCCCATTTTTTTTTCATGCCCGACGACATTGCACTCACCTTCGTCTTGCCATCCTGGCCTACCTGGAGCTCAGACAGCCTAAATAAACCGTCTATAAATTGCCTCCCTGAGTTACATTTTCCAACATTGAACGTACTTAGTAGCAGGGTTGCCACCTTTGAACGTAACAAAATATGGACGAATATTCGAAATATACCCACAGCCACCTTAAGCCAATGCGCCAATCAATACTATGAGTGCGGCTTACTGCTTTCCACTCACGAAAAATAACTATTAGCTGACATTTAACTTTATTAAATAAATAATAAAAATAATAATATTTATTCCATCACTCTTGCAAGACCAATTGGTCCGTTGACAAATCTTAACAAGTTTGAAATATGACAAAACAGCACCCATATTAGGACCAGTTTGCAGTATGGACATTGCATCTGAATTATGTACTGCCCGTACTAATTATGAACGGCTGGCAACCCTAATTAGTAGCACCTCAAGAGCGGCGTTCACCAAACAGCGCGAAGAATTTGACGCGCGTTGCAAGGTTCCATCGAAGGTAAGACCCGAAATGAAAAAGGCGCGATAAGGAAAGGCTAAAGGGCGACTCTGGGGCAACCCCGCATTCCATCTCGGTTGCGCGCGCTTCCGATCCCGTCCGCGTTCGCCGATAGATGGCAGGACCGTGCGCGGGCGACGCTGAGGTTCGCTTCGACCGCGGCGAAAGAATATTCCGTGGACAAGCCGTTTCGGTGCATTCGGGGCCAGCGGAGACGTAAATCGACCGGGAGCACGGAAGTCCGGAAGGGGATCGGCGCCTTTCGCATCGGGAATTTCATTTCGACGGGGCCTGACGGAAACCTGGCTGCATTTTTTTCTTCCCTCTCGCCGCTTTCGTGAGGAAACGAAGCAGGAGATGATGCGAAACCCGAGTCGTGAAACGAGCCGGAAGAATTAGAAAAGGGAACCTCGAGCCCGACGACGACGACGACACGAAAAGTGAAAATGGAAATGCCTCCCGTCCGATCGCTTCGACGCGGAATGGGGGAAATTCCTCGTCTCCCTTCCGCGCGGAATGCGAAGTTCTCGGTCTGGTCCTTTCTAATTTTGCGGAAAATCGAAGACAGCGAGTTTGATACGAGCGGGTGATTAGACGCCGTGAGAAGATCTTGTGCGTTTTCAGGGTGAAATTTTGACTGCCTGAATAATTTTTTTTTTTACTGTTGGGACTTTATCGAGGACAGCATGTCGGCGACGTCGAAAACGTGATTGACGCGTGTGGATGCAAAAATGGCTGGCTAGGAAGGCGAGGAAAAAATTTCCAAGTCGGTATTTTCCGAGAAAATCGTTTCCGTGCGCTTCTGAGGATGAATACTGACACCTTCGTGGAAATCCTGACACTCGTCGAACACAAAATCGAGAGAACCGATCGAGTCACACGGGAAGCGCCATGTTACCAGACCGTAACCAACCGATCAGGAGGCGTGCTTGCTACGAGTGGTCGCGAGAAAGCGAAGGATGTCTCGAGACCTTGTGAGTTGGAACCCCACGTGAGTCTATGAGTCGCTCGTAGACCCCGACTACACGAGCTCATAGCTCACACGGGAGCAGTCACATACGAGCAAAATGATAGCGTGTGATGGGGCCTTAAACTC